TATAATATAATATAATATAATATAATATACTATAATATAATATACTATAATATAATATAATATAATATAATATAATATAATAGAATAGAATAGAATAGAATATAATATAGTATAATATAATATATAGTATATACTATATAATATATAATATATAATATATAATGTATAATATATAATATATAATATATAATATAAATATACATATAAATATAAATATAACAAAATAAAATATAATATAATATAATACAATATAATACAATATAATATAATATATTTTATTATATAATATAATATAAAAATATAAATACAAATATAAATATAAATATAAATATAACAAAATATAACTGAACTTCCCAAACCACCGGCTCCGAGCCTTCGTCAGCTGGTCCCCCTTCCGGGCCGCGCGGTCCGGGAAGCGCCGGTTCCAATCCGAGGCCAAGGAGTTGGGAGCGATCTGGGCGAATTCGGATAGGCCGGATAGGCTTTGTGGCTCCAGCTTTTTGCTTTTTTTTTCAGAGCTGTCTAGGGGTTCGGATTCTAGATTTCTAGGCTTTCTTGAAAGGCTATTGGGCCTAGAATTGCAAATCACAGATCTACTCTGGGTTCTGAGCTTAGGGCCAGGATCTCGGCCCGCAAAACTGTCAGAGAGAGAGAGAGAGATACATGCGTTGTGAACTCGCAAGAAGTTGAGGCAAGCACGCCCTCGATCACCTTGACATTCAGTGTGTCCATCGCCTGCAAAGTGACTTGGGGGAAACTGTCACTGCAGGAGGCCATGTCTTCGAGTGTATGGTGAGGCAGTAGTGAGCTGGATGAAGCAGCAATGCCAGTATAGATCAAACGGTTCAAGTTCTTTTCCTGCCTGACACATGCAGCAAGCAGCATTGCATCGCCTGCGGAAGCACCGACAGGCAGGCAACGCCAGCAAGGTGGCCAAGCCCATCGGCCCCTTTCCAAAAAAGCTCGTCCCGCAAAGTAAGCGCTGAAAAGCCCAGGTTGTTTCATATCGTCGGGCAGTTCTACATTGCCGCCATCCGGCCAGTGACCAACTCCCTGCACCCTGTCCTCAGATACGAAGCCCTACCATAGGCTCCTTAATATTCAGAAGCGAGGTGAAAGTTCATGATTACAAAGCATTCGGGGCCCAATGTCAACCCGAGGCCCATGGTCGCCTGGCGATCCCATTGGAAGCCCCACTTCTCGGAAGTCGCCCCGCGCTGCAGCACGACGACGTAGAAACCTGAGGCTGGAAATGGTTCGGGGGTACGGAAAATTTTTAGGGGATGATAAGAAACAACCTCATTTGCAGAAGACATCTGACATGTCAACTATTTGCGGAAGGGCAACACTAGAGCCAGATCAGCCTTTGATTGCGCTGCAGTTTCAGCCCTTGCCAGTTTCGACTTCAGACCTTCAAAATCGCACCGACGCTATATGGCCGAATCTTCGTCCTACCGACGGCGGAATTGATTTGGCACACGAGGCTGAATCAGTTGTTGAGGCTTGACGGAATCATGATTGAAGCAACAAGCCATGCTGTGCACTGGATCAAACATGAAGGCGGAAGCTACTCGAATTAGAACCACGAAATCGCACTTGGGCTCGCTGTTCATCCATCATATCAGCCTATCATGCAGTCCCGTTTCGCACCACTGAAATCCTGGGTATCTACAGCACCCCACAACTACTGAGTCGCAAGCTTTCCGTCTCTGCCGGCGGCTTCTCGTTCTTCGCCTTCCGAACGGATGGCAAAGCTCTTTGAAGCTCACAGCCTAGGCCTTACAGCTACAAGACTGACTAGCTCCATGGCGGAGTATGCAAGTGGCTTTAGCCCATGTGGAGCATGCTGAGATGTACGACTTCTTGCCAATAGCCGGCAGAGTGAAGCTGAGAGGCTTCTAGCCCAGTGCGCGTTGCTTCCGAGATGAGCCCACAATACCGCAAGGCCTTAACGCCTAAACCGTCGGAATACGAAGGGCAGCATGCCTGTGAAGGCATCTCTACGTTCTACGTTCATGCTGCTTGCCCACTGGAGACCGAGAACCATTCGTCCCCGTCCATGTCAGTGTGCCTCGGCCTCCGCGTTTGCCGGCTCCCTGCACACTTTGGCTTCGGAGTCTGGGATGAATATCGAAAGTTCAGGCTGTTGGGAGATGCTCTGTACAAGGGCGCACGACGGTTCAACCTCGTGAACGGAGATCTTTGTTGCGCGGTGGCCGGAAGAGTTCCGCACACAATCTTACAATGCATTCATGCTCCCACAAATGGTCTCTCGGTTCCGATTTGTGCATCAGAACTATCTGTTCGGCAGGGTGGAATCTTCACCAATCTGGCAACTCGAAACGAAGCAGCTGCCAAATCCGAAGACAAGCTGACGATAAATCCCCATCCCTAAGTCTGAAACCGGACACAAATCCATAACGAAGATCATCAGAGCCCTCTAATTCTACTCGGACCGAAACTTGATTCCTCTCAGCTTGAAAGCTGCCGAGCCTCACGGCCTCTTTGGGCTCCGCAATCTCCGTATTGTCAGCCTGGCCGCTTGACTTGTGGACTGGACGAAGGCCCAGAGAATTCAGGTTCAATGCGTTGATTTCGGTGTTTTGGACTCACTCACACGCTCAACCGCGATCCGAGACACGCGGCATGCTGAAGTAGCTTCCCCCAAAACATACAGCCCTTTTGATGCAACAACCTTGACCATGAAATCCGGAATCCTGAAACGTTGTTCAAAGAATATGGGCAGCGGGCGACCGCAAGCGACTGCCAGGAAGGCGCCAACTTCGTGTGCTTCAGACCGACATCCCCACACACACACACACACGCGCAAACGAATACCCACACACACACACACACGCACACACACACACACGCACACACACTCATCACACTCACAAAGTGACATATGTTACAGCACAGAATGATTGTGGTAACAATTACAAATCATGCCACGCAATACAACAACGATCTGATGTTTCTGCCGCTCTGTTGTGCAAGATGCATCGAACTTCGTCCTTGCAGGAGTCAGTCTTGAGCAGAAGTTCTGCCACCTTCCAAGCCAAAAACATGAATTCAATAGCCCACACCCACCAAGCCTTCCCCCGAAATGTTCAAGCGCAACGCTGAGAGCCTCGAAACTGCCGTAAATGCCGAGGACCGAGTCCGAAGCAACGCAAAAGCAAAAGCACATGCCCTGGCACACCGGCTCTGCTGCGGAATTGTTGGACGGATGGTCCAGTTCCTGAAGTCCCGTGCAGAAGCTCCGCTTTCGGATGCCATGTCATGAATGATGCAGGCTTTTCCCCAACCACACTGAGCCAAGCAGTTACTCCCAAACAAGAACCGGCAGTGCACAATATATGCCCACAGTTCAAGCGATCCCTTCCCTGAACCCTCACTGGGCTTTTTGCCGATGAATCCCCTGAATGCCACACCCAGACAAATTACCCCTCCCCCCCGAAATTTCGTGCATCCGAGCAGGCCACCGGCGTTTCCGACGGATTTTCAAGGATCTCCACACCTTCCAAACACACAGCATAGACGAAAGTCAAGCTCAAGCTGAGAGTGGTGGAACAAAAGGGCGTTAGGTGGCCACCGAGACAGTCAAAGCAGACTCAACAAAATTTCGGCGGTCCCGCCGTCGTGGGTACAGCCGCTTACATGCTCGGGCTGATGTCAGTTTAATTAGGGCCCTGGGCCGACTTCGGGTCTTGGTGTGCACTGTAAGAGGCCAGAACCTTTGATGCTGTCTGCGGAAGTTGTCTATCGAAAGATACTCAACAGTTGGCCGCAGCAGATGCTTTGGGTCACGGAATACCCGAACCTTGAACTTCATCACTGCACTTGCAGCGCATGTGGCATATTCAGACGAGCATCAGCTTGAAGCGCTGGGCGCTGCATCAGACGCAGCCGCGGCCTCCACCAAGAGCTTCTTTTTAAATCCAATTGCGACAGCTCATAAGCACAGTGGTTGAGGAGACGTAGCAGAGAGAACTCCTGAGCCTGGAGGCTGCAAAGCCCCTCACGCCGGCAGTCTTACTGAAGGCCTCAAGCGGCTGCGGCGGTAGCTGCGGTGGTAACGGAGCTTCGTCCGGCATCGGGGGCAGATCCTGGCAAGCTAGCTGTCCCGTGTCTGCTAATTATGCAGCAGTTGTCCCAAGCTTGGAGGCGACGTGCTTCAAAGCAAAATCCAAAACCAGAACCCGGAGAGAAGCCCAAACCCAATGACAGCATGATTATGACATGGTTCGAGGCAAGTCGCACCCATTGTCTCTCCACTCTCACGTGAAAGTGTCCTTCGCAGAGGGGCTGGAAACGTCCTTCGCAGAGGGGCTGGGAGGCTGGTCTTTTGCCAGCACTCGTTCTTCCGGAGCTTCGGGCTCTGCGACCGGAGCAGGAATAACGGGCTTGGGCGACGCCGCGGGCGCCTTTGGAGGAGGTGAGCCTGCTGCGGGCATCGCCACGGTCAGCGCGGGCATCGCAGCTTCGGAAGCTGGAGGTTTGGCCACTGCCAGTGGGGCGACCGCTTCTGCAGCAGGCAGTGTCACAGCTGCAGCTCCAGCAGGTGTCGCCACTGCCGGCGGAGCTCCGGCGTCTGCAGCAGGTGCCGCCGGTGCCGTTGCAGCTCCGGGTGCCGGAGTTTCCGGTGCCTGAGAAAGTTTGCCGATCGATTTCTTTCCGCTTCAAGGACCTAAAGATAAAGGATTGAAGGTTCAATCGCCAAACGAAGCTGAACTTCAACACTTTGGCGCAGTCTGCACTTACAGTAACCACATGGGAGCAGTTCCACAGAAGAAGACGGTGGTGGCAAGCAGCTCTTGCAATGCATTGCTTGAACTACTAGTAACTGGTAGTTGGATGGCCGTTTCCCGGGAAAAGCAAAAGAAACCTGAGCGGAAAAGAGGATCCTGGTGGCCCAGAGTCACTTTTACCAAGTTCAGCGCTGCGCACCACAGCCTTGCGTCACTTGGGGTTCTACGTATCATAATCAGAGTAATGCTACTAACATTAATATTTCATCTTGCTATTATTGTTATTGCTACTATGATGTGTTGAGTCAACCCGCTTGAGCTTGTTGCAACGCTTGCTCGATGGATCTGCTGACCAAGCTGCAGAAGGCTTCGGGGCTTCGTCGCCTTGCTTGCCTCCAGCTCCTGTGAGACTCCAAAGTGCATGCTCTGAGCAACGAGCAGGCGCCGGACACCTTTATGAGACTGTGTGTGCGCATGTAATGTAATGCAGTGCATGTCTGCATTCGTGCGCACCCACACGTGCATGCATCCATGTGCATATTCTTGTACATGTGGATGCATGCGCATGAGCACTTGCATGTCTGTGCACACGGGCAGTGTATGTGTTTGTCTATACCGTCTACACCGACACAACATATGATACAAATAAGCGAGAGGGAAACACCAAAGGGCATGTGGATAATTCTGGGATGCAGGCGGTTTGAAACTCTGACGTGCAAGGGAGTGCAGTGCGTATATCTATGCACCGACCGAGACTCTCAAGAATCATCAAAACACATGAACAAGTTGGACACCATCAGCAACAAATCCAACCTTTATTCCCGACACATACCTGTTCGGCAGACCACAGACGAGGGCCCCTGACTCAGAGGTGCCCGCCCGTAGGGTGAAAGCAGTATCGAGGGTCTTCGCCAGGGTAGCTAAATTTCTGCTCGCATACTCTATACTACATAGTACACGTACACGAAATATGCATGCCTGCCACCGCCATACAGTCCTTCTAAATCTCGAGGCTCGTGCGGCTGGAACTCGCACACCACGTACATCCTCAGAAAGAGGCTTCAAGGAGGTTGTACAGGACGAATGCATGTCGTGACGGCTGCTTGTTGCTGTTCATACTACTTTCCCGACGTCCTGTTTCGTTAGTACCTGTGTAACACACATAATGAGCAAAGTAGCCGTGATGGCCATCATGACCCTCAGAACCATCGCGATTATGACTCGCACCATCGTCGACATGATGATGATGATGATGGTGATGATGATGAGGAGGATGATCATCATCGTCATCATCTGCTTCTTCAGCTTCATCGTCATGCTCTTTTGAACTGCAATGTCAGGCTTCTGCTGGTAGCATGTAGTACAAGCATGAATCCGATGGCCTTACCAGGGTTCCAATGATTCTGGTTACGGTAATGTTGATGATGGCGACTGCTCATGGGCACCTGTCATATACCCCACAAACACGCTTTAGCTCCGCGAGTTTCGAGATTGACCACAAGGCGTCCTGAGGCAAAGGAAGCTCTTTACCAACATCAGCAACTTTGGGAAAATCGCAACATCAAGCCCTAAGGCTACGAATTCGAAGGACGGCAGATTGTGGCCGATGATGTTGTGGGAGACGGCTGGATCTGATGCCTAGAGCTGAAGCAGAAACGTTATGCCGTTATGCTGCTTAGTTCATTCCGGCATCACACGATAAGTTGAAGGTTGTACTTTCCATCCCCCTATATATTACATTCTGCTGTTTCTGCAAACATTCCGGATGTGGTTGTCAGTGGAACATCCCCATCTGCCAAAGTGCAGACTAGTGACTTGCTGAGCTCGACTGTGAGAAGCTCGATGCGCCCCTGTTTCCCATTTACCTTCAGCTTTAGGGTTCAGGGTTTGTTAGGGCATCGCAAACAAGCTTTTCGACGGCATTCCTGTCCTCGTGGCTCTTTCTTTTCTGATTTTCCCGTAGGACCTTTACTAGTAGTTCAATGTTGAAACCCAGAGCGTTGCTGCCAGGAACCGTATCTCAGTAGCAAGGACAGTTGCCCGCTGGACGAGTCGGCAGACAAATCTGCAGACAACATCAGTGATCTCCATCCGAGTAGCCACCCGACACTTGCTCTGGCATGGCACGAATCTTCATCATGTTCTGGCAAAGCTGCACTATTTGCATGAACGCCAAGCATGCGGCTGCACAGTTGAATTCGCTAGACTAATGCCTACGGCCCTACGGCCTACCAGAAAGGACACTTCCCATTTTCGTACATCAAAATCTAAAGTGACTCGCAAGATGTGGTGGCAATGGATTTCAAGGGCCTGTGGGACGACTATGACAACAGCAAGTCAGAACCATCGCACAACAGCAACGACCACATTGTGGAAGATCTCTGGCAGGCCTTCACCAGCGTGTCTCCAGGTCTGACCTCGCAGCCTGTCCAACATCTCCAGAGAACTGCAGCGTGTCGCCTTCTTTACCATGCTCCGATAGTCTGCCGCACCTGCTTTCTGTTGTGCACTTATCCAAACTCAGCCGACCCGACCCTGTCACTGCTGGCCAGAACCCCTTGATCAGCTAGAGTGCGAGCTGCATTTGTCGTGCTATGTTGTTGCTGCTGTCGTCGTTGCTAGAAGTATTGCGGTCGTGGCGGTGGCGTGGCTGTCCACTTCCAAGCCCAGAAAGATGTTGCTTTTGCTGCGGCAGTTTGCGCCTCACTGAGATACTGTGGGTGATCTTGGCAAGGTGCGTCAGCCATCGTTTAGGTCTCAGCTCGGTTTAGAGGCTCGTGTTCAACGAGTCTACCGTGGTTCACTCTTCTGCGTGCCTAAGAGCAACACAGTGAGTTTCTAGCTTCGACGAACACATCTCTCGCCGAGGATCTCATCATTTTCGCAGAGCTGCACCCAAACAACCCCAAGCCTCCCAGAACTGCATGCAATGCCCCCCACCGCAACACCTTCAAGTCCTGGCTGTGGGTCTTAAGGTGCGCAAGCCCTGAGCCCTCGGAGCCCTCGTGAGAGCCTGGTGGAGGGCTCTCATTCCATTTCGCCGCGAGGGTGCCAGGCAATACCTCCAAGTTTTGCAAGTCAGCTGTGTTAACGTCTCCGAATAGTCGAAAGGGAATGCAGGTACTGAAGCTTTGGAATTAAATGCATGTAAGATTCATCGGCAGCTTATGTTTGAAAATGACGGTCTTCAACAAGAGTGAAAGAACTGACTCGGAAAACAACAGCTCGGTGTATGCCTGTATGATAACTTGAACACATGAATGCATACCTCTATGCTTGCAACATACATTGCATGCACCTTATACACATATACATACAGCTATATGCTTATGTACGGTGTACATGTACATACCTACATGCATACATACATACGTACGTACATACGTACATACGTACATACATACACACATACAAACAAATAAACATACATACATACATGCATACATCATACAATCATATATGCATCTAAAAGCATGCATGTGTGCATAAGATACATATAACCAAAAGAACCATGAACGTAGCCATGACAATGTGTGCACATCCACGTAAAGCCGCTTGATACAGATCTCACGTACAGATGCCTTGCTGATGACTCGCACATTGTCTTTCTCCAGCTTCTTGACCTCGCGGTGAGGCGATGAGGATTGAGGTTTGGGAGATGGGTTATGGTTGCAATTGCAATCATCGCGGTATCTTTCGTGGCAAGTAAACCTACATGTTTATTCAGGTTAGCCCTCTGAGTCCTCTTCATAGCTTCTACTGCTTGGAAGGAACGATGACAGAATGCCACCCAAATGCTCCCCGAAGCACTGACAGGATACTATATGAAGCTTGACCTTCGTGAGGATTTTGGTGGTGAACATGATTGTCACTACGCCAGTGCTTCTGACTTTGGCTATACCTCTGAACAGCAAAAAATTGTCGAACTCGAAGCAGTCTGAGTCTTTAGTGTCCGGGTGCCAGGCATCCCAACCAAAGCCAAACCTGTGAGCAGCACAAGGGATAGGGCGAGCATGGTGGGCTCCAGAATCCTACTATTTAGGGTCCCCTATTTTCTGAAACCCCCATCTGATAATCCGGTCTCTCTGAGATGCAGAGTAGCCCAAATGCTTACAAACGGTAAACGGCAAATGTGTGAGGCACATGATGAAGTATAGGACTATAGGAACTATGATAACGCTCCACGACAAAACACGCCTCGCAATGCTGGTGACACTAGTCAAGACTTACACTCTTTAGGATTCGGAAGGCTGGGAAAAACAGATAGGGCCGGGCATGGAGCATGTTCGAGCTTGGAGCTCCGAGGCCACTCAGGATACGTTCCCTCTGACAGGATCAGCACAGCGTGCTGTAAGGGTGCTTTTGCCGATGTTAACCTAAGTCGCAAGCTCAGTCACACAGCAAAGGAGAGTCGACTCGACCGTGTTGCAATGCTTGTGTTAGTTGGCGTTCCGGGTTGCTGTGCCGGGGTATTGGCAGCACTGACGGGCAGGATATGATGGCCTGCATCAGTCGTGCCATCTCTACGTGCGGGCCTCTCAGCGGGATTTTGCCGCCGGAGCTCCACAACATAGTTCCCTGGGCAGAATACAGCATCCAGTATCTATGCTGCACTTTCGAACGCATTGTTGCTGCTGGGCACTCGCAAGTGGTCAAATTCAATCCGTGTCGGCCGCATGACTGTATACTGAAAGCATACTGTTGTATAGGATCCGTGATCGCATGGCGCATGGGATTAAGGATTTAAGGATTCAGCAGCAGGAACATGGACGCGCCTGCTTCTGGCGGGGTCCTGGCGATGGCCGGGGCTCCTTGCAGGCGATGCAATGCTTGCCGACCAGCCTCAGGCTCTCTGCCAAAAAAGCAGATGTGATGGTGGGCTAGAGTGTCAAAATCGTGATGCTTGAGGTTGCAGTAGGTTCACATGCAGCAAGCGAGAGAAGGGTGCGATCGTGCTGCCGCCTTCATGCCATGTAGAAGGAGAGGGAGAAATACAACAAGAACCAGCAGGAGAAGAATGAGAGAGACAGAAAGCGAGTGCGATGCGCGCACCTGCACACCTCTGATGTATACATGCATCTACAAAGGAACAGACAAACATCAAATCAAACACACTCGCATGCATGCAAGCATACTGACTTATATCTACTAAGTATAGCACCTACTCACATACATAGACACGTAGAGTTGACAGGTGTACATGAAGACGAGCAGCTGCCACAGAGTGGGGTGAGGAAAATGCCATCCACAACCAACAAACCAAAACCAGGGCAACCGCGAAAGTTACTACATCCAACATCCACCAATCACTAACAGGTGCAGCACCATGCGACCTAGGCCAAGCCCCGAATGAGACAATGTCAACAGTTTCAGCTCCTCCTTTGGCTGCTGCCGGCGATGCCTTTCGGGGATGAGACGGTGGGTTTCGAGGAGGCACATGCACACATGACTTCGATGTACGAGCCAATTGTGGGCCACCATGAAACACACCCGTCTTTGGAAGCAATCCCCTGGAAAATTGAGGACCCATGGCTTGCTTCAGGTACTTTATCAAGTTCCAGGTTCAGTAGAGTACCCAGTCCATAAAACGAACTAACGTCCGCGTGATTTGTGTTGCACGTTACGGTTGTGGGCTTCGTGGCAAAACCTGCGATGCTGGCACACCCTGTACTTAATCTGATGACGTCACCTCCTCAAGACTTTCATCCCAAAATGGGACTTTCCGAAAATAGGGGACCCTGATATAGGACCCTTATTGGAAGGAGCCCAAAATAAGGTACCCCCAATTTTTGGAAACTCCCAAAACTTCGCGGGTTTCGGAAAAGCGCGAACAACCTTTGCCTCGGCCTTGGGCGCTGCTCCAGCTGCCTTCGGGACCGGAGTCACGGCCTTTGGGATCCAGGACCCTACCTTTTAAGAACCCAAAACCCACCTTTTTTTGTAGGTTCTTTTTACAAACCCTAATATGGGATTTATAGGGATCCAACAAAGAAATAGGTTTTGGGTTCTTAAGGTAAGACACCAAGCAGCGGATTGAGGATAGAAGGACTCTGCAGTGGGCTTGGATACCGAATTCTGAATTCCAGGCCATGACTAGGGTAGGTCGCCATTGGTCCTGGACTAAAGGAGGTGCAAGCTTCTTGCCTTTTCCAGACTTCGACTCTCCAACAAGCCCCCTGCCGGCTCTGCTGCGGCACTCTGCAGCGGCGCGGCTTTTGGGGGTGCGGCGGGCGCGGCCTGCGTCGAAACAGCCCCCGAATCATATCCACTGTCCTCACGCCGCATGCTCACAGAAAGCTAGATTGTAGGGCGCGACGGGGATCCACATGTCTGATCACAAGTGGAGCCTGACTGGGAGGCCGTCTCATTTGAGTAGTTGTCAAAATTATGGTACCTTTTTGGGAACCCTAAATATTAGGTGCCGTACTATATTACGGACCCCAAAAGGGACCCTAATTTTGACAACCACCCATTTGGTGGAGCCTGCGACTTTGCTACCGGCACCGCACCAGGCAGCTGCGCAGCTTCGGCGGCCTGCAGCGACAGACTGCTGTCCTGCACTGCCTCAAGTGGGAGTTTCGGAAAAGAAGGGGTACCTTATTTGGGGGTCCTTATAATAAGGATCCTACTATTTAGGGTACTATATTAGGGTCCCCTATTTTCGGAAACTCCCAAGTGTCTGAACTCAACACTTTAGCTCTAGTCCGCCACCGGTATGCCGGTGCAGATTTACGGCAACTCTTGTGCATATCTGCAGCTTGGTTAGACTCATGCGGGAAGTTCCTCCGGAGGAATTTTCCATTCACGAACTCAGTAACTATTAACTGCGATATCGGCAATATCCATTGATGAATGCAGGAAATTTATCTGGCACACATGTCCGCAGTCGCATCCGCGATGATTCGCATGTGGTAACTGTGAGACAACTTTCCACAGCTCTACTCCGGCAGTAGTCGTGACATCAGGATTTCACAAAGGGTGCCTCTGTCCGCACCACGGTGGCTTTGATGGCACCCTTCTTCCAGCCACAGTGGTGGCAGAAGTTTGCTCCAGGAACCAGGACCTTGACAAGGAAAGCTTGAAAAGTGGTTGGCACACAGAAGGCGACGACAGCATGATAGGTATGCAAAAGCAACGGGATTCCCGTGCCCCTCCTCCACCAAAACACACAAAGTGTGCTTATAGGCCTAGACTAGACCATCAAATCCCACAGGGATCCTGGCTAAATACATTAATCACATCCCGATGCTCTGTCAAGCTGCTGTCCCACAGTTCTGGCACTCCTCGGTTTCCTGCAAGGCTCCGGGCTGGCCCGGGTCAGACGAGTTTCAGATCTTTACTCTCCAGCACCAACGAACCTCCGGGCCCTTGTCTAGTGGTGTCTTCTTGGAAACCACCTTGCTGGCTTGGCACGGTGGCCCGTTGCATCCATGAGCATATTCAGCAGTTCGCTTGACGGGCTCAGGCTTTGAGAGTAGGGTCTATATGCCTCTGGGAGTTCAGACTCTTCGTTCAAGGTATAGTAGAGCCACACCGGGAAGCTCACAGAATTCTCATGAATTCTCTGCGCCAGAAGTGGGCCCAGACTGTTGTACTGGGTAGTGATGTCAGCCCTGCTTCCCCTGCCTACGTCCATGTTTCCACTCCTTGGAAACACTGAGAGTTCCGAAACGTCCCAAACCCCGACAGCCCAGTCCTCCTGCGCGAGTGGCGCAGGGCGCTGCCTCACATTTCGGGGTATGTACGGCTTCGCGCATCAACATATCCAGTCAGATGATCTGCCGGTGCGCTTGTCAGATGATTATCAGCTTCAGTACAAAGGCAAGAAACCCATGGCCTGCTTCTCTCAGGTGCAAGCCACGACGTGCGGAAAACAGACCAAACTGGAAAACGCGACACTGAAATCAGGATACCAAAGGAAATCATCAAACCGGCACAGTCGCCACGATCCGGGACGATGGATCTTGATGCAAGTTGGTTGATCATTGGCGGACGATGGCAACAACGGCTACGATGATGGTGCTGCTAATGGTGATGACAGCTGTTGATTAATATGCTCATCGCAGTCGTGATGATGATGACGGTGGCACGTGGGTGATGATGAAGAAGATTGAGCCTGTGGTTGGAGTGATTTGTCATGCGATGACTATGCTACTATAATTAGCATCACTCTTGCATTGTCGTGTCGCTTCGATTGCCAGCAAGGGCGGATTGTTGCTAGTATTAGCACTGCTAGAACCGTCGGTGATTGGCCAAAGGAAAGAAACATACTTACTAATAGAATGACATGTTTGAGCCGAGCGCTAAGCCACATCCCTCTGAGGCTTAGGCGCTGGCTTGGGATGAGCGGGCGATGCGGGGTCTATGCCTCAGAGCGACCCAGAGCCTGAGAACCAGGCCGTGATCCTAAAACCACCAAAACCCAACCATCCATACTCACGGAATCTCAAAGCAGGAGTGTCATCGTGCAGCCAAGACAGAAACGCCAAACATCAACATGTTCATGCGTCAACACTTCACACGCGCTCGGAGCTTCGGGTTCAACTGCTTTGGCATCCTGGCCGGGGTGCAGAGAAAAGGGGAAAGGGTAGACTTTGGATCGTCTCCGCCATTCCCGCCGGTCTTCGCGGCTCCGAACGGCTTGGGCTCAGCGATTCTTCAAGATGCTGTTATCGTGACTGCATACCACTGTTTGAAGCTTAGCTCCGACACTACACGCCCTACACTTACTTCCCATGCAGTTAGCTTCTTCTTCTTCTGTTGCCGTTGTGATCCAAGCTGTCAGGCCGAGCTCACTAGTCTGCCCCTGCTAAAAATGCCTGGGGCTGCGTGCCCTTAGCCTGCAACAAACAGAGCCAAACAACAGAGTAGTTAATTACTCAGGAGCCTGGAAAGCAAACATCGGATTCCGGTAGGAGCAGGTGCACCGCGGTAGAATAAGACCATAAGACCCACGGCGCAAGGTTCCAACTTCACCAAATACGCACTCCACTACGGCACCATACAGTTGCTATACCGGAGTCAACACCGTGTAATGACAGCAAGCATCGAGGAAGTCGGCAAGAACAAGCGTCCTGTGTGCTCTGGTCTCCTAAAGTCTGGGGGGAAACTGCAAGACGTCTACTGTCCTCTGGCACTTCTGCTATGCCGCAAACTTTCGATCATCACCCTTAGATTTATGAAAGGCTGAAGCTGCAGGACTAAGTTCTTCACTGGTAACGCCGTGAAAGCCGAGGTCTGCAACCTTCAGGCGTTTTGTGGCTCTACGACGTTTCAAGCAGCCTGGGCAGGGGTCTTCTTCTCGTAGCATCTCAACTGCTTGATGCCCGGATGAATGTCGGGCGCGGCTCGACTTTTTCGGAGGGCTTTTGCTGCAAGAGTGGGTACACATGTAAATAATGTAATATTGTCTAATGCAGTACAATATGTACACTATAACTTATTCTTATCACGATTACTATTATTATTCTTCTTATTATATTTCTTCTTCTTATTGTTGCTATAGTACGTACAATAATAAGATCCTGCTCAGACCGGCCTTCTCCTTCCTGCGCTTGGAAAGGCACGGAAACCTCGGCTTCGGACCCTTCGGATGGTGACTCGAACTTCAGATCGCCCGCATGACATGGGCGGGGGGGGGGGGGCTTAGAGGGGTTTTAGAGGGGGCTTTGAGGGGGTTTAGAGGGGCTTTAGAGGGTGCACAGCTTTGAGCAGACTTGAAATCACAAGGTCCATGGAAAGGCTCAAGTCGCGACTTTTCTTGAGAAGCAAGATGTGAGGCTCATCGCCGTGTTCGGAGTTTTGGACTTAGACCCCGGAACCCTAAAGCCTTAGGTCAGCGCAGCAGTCGCCATGGACCCATCGCCCGCTGCACCACATCCGGCAGAATGGAAGAAGGCCCAAGAAGCACCGAGAGAAGCAAGGAGTGGAGTGGATGAGTCGGGTTGAAGGGTTCGAGGGTCTGGCTCGGGAGTGCAGCTGGTTCAGGGCGGAAGCCCACGGCAGCTTCATGTGTTTGACAGGGAAAGCCCGAACAGCGGTCGAGAGCCACGGACGATCGCTGGTGTTCAGCGCTCCCGCAGCAGTGGGGCACGATTCTGCCCCTCTCTGCTCGTGGCACAGGGTTGCGGTGCTGCTTACGCCTGGGCTGCTCGTGGTTGGCTAGAGCTGAGATGTATGGGCCTATAGTGCAAGGCCCTGTGCCAGGAGTCCCGACATGAAAGTTCCTACCTTGCATTTCGGGCAAAATGCAGCGGCATTCAACGACAACACAGTTTTCAAATGCTGTACGCTCCAAACATCTCCCAACGCTCTCGATAGCTGAGCCATGCTTGCAATGCTTGGGGCTTTGACATGCATCTGGCAGAGCGTATCCTGAATGTTGCCCATCACGTCGAAGAAACACAGCAGGCGTGATGCACCCTTTTTCCCAGTGCTTGCGGTCTGCCAGTGAAGATGCCCAACCTACAAATGGCAAGGATCCCTGAAGTCATCCCTTCTCTGTCTTTGTGTCCCCCATCGAAGTGGTGTACCCGAATGAAGCACCGGTAACCCGAACTACTCTTACTGAAGTCTTGGAGAGTGTACATGACCAACTATTCCGACCATGCCTTGATGTGTAGGTTTTTTGATGCTATGACGTGCGCGGAGCTTCCGGTTCATTCCGTCGTCGCTCGTCGACGTGGTACAGGGGCTTCAGCCCTATCTCCTGGCAAGACGAGACCGTGCAAACACGAATGCAAGACTGGCAAGTCAATAGCGCAAAACAATACGGGGAAGTTGGAGAAGTCACCAGGCATGGTTTGACAAAGAATAGCCGGCAAGACCAAGTTTATCTAATAAGACATGCTAGACTTCGACCTGGCTACGACACGAGGCGGCTATTGAAACCTACCTCGCCTCCAACTTTTGGCATATCGTTGCATACGGTAACCCAGGGTTCGTGCGTCTTGCAGGGTTTGGGGCTCGTGTAGAGGTTCTCTACCTCCGTACATACCTGCCACCCTCGAACTACTCAACAAGGAGCCCTGCAACCCCACCCCCTTGCACGGTGGCCTGCGCTGTGGCCTCGGAGTTTGACACGCGAATTCAGCGAAGAGAAGTCGATTTGTGGAGAAAGTACTAGTGGTAAAGATCCAAAGTAACCATGGTTGCTTCTAGAGTCTATAACAGGAAGGCCGTGGAACCGAACCGG